AGGCGCTGGGTTTTTTTGTTAGTTTAAAAGGGCTCTTGCTGAGCGAGGTTGGGGCGGCCTCCTTCACTTTTTCCCTCAGTAACATCATGTAGTGAAAACAGTGTTGTGGCTCTGAGTTTGATTCACGTGGGACATGTGAATCGAATAAATGAAACAGGAGCCTGGGAGACTAGTCAGTTCTTTGGCATACCAAAAGTGTAATCAGACATCCTACTAGGGAAAGGAAAGGCTGTACAGGGTGTGGAAAGGGATGAGGCAGGAGGTCTAGTCCTTCATTCCAGCTGCTCCCCTTTAGTTTCTGCCGACTCCCATTATGAATTGCACAAGATCGTCTATTACAGGATTTCCCTTTGTGATGTGCTTCATTCCTACTGTAAATCCAACAAGTGTTGCACAGAGGTTATTGTGGAGAAAACCACTAGAAGAAAATGTTTACATGTAGCAGAGAAAAATTCACTACGCTGGGAGATATATGGGGCTTTCGATATCTCTTGTACTCTCTCCATTTCCGTTTTGGGGAGTGAGGATCACTAGTGCTGTTTCTTCCAGTCCTTAATCAAGGCAATAATCAAGGCCAATGGGGATTTTAATCTATCAAGGTAGAGGCCTATTTCGTACACTCAGCTGCCAGGCTACAGCCAACCCCCGTGACTGATTCAGGTTCTGCAGAATCGAAATGTTTGTTTAAAAACAGGAAGCTTTTTGCCCAGGAAATTACGAATAAGATCTTCCAAGTGTGATTAGGGCATATCCATTGCTTTGTTTTCTTCTTGTGTTTTCGTTCATCTGCAATGTAAGCTAGCCTTGTTCATCGTGCTTGGCTCGTAAGCCTAATGATGGCTCTTGAAGGATACATTTCTAAATATTTTAGGTGAACAATGACACACCTGATTTTCACAGTTATCATAGCTGTGTGTGGAAATTGGCGCATTACCTGTGAATTGCCCAAAGCTCAGAAATGCCAGTGGTCCTAAAATTGTCTGGCCTAGTCTTTCCCATTTCGCAGAGAGTCCTGCTCCTATTGTTGGTCGCTCTGCTCTGTCAGGGAGAGACTTTTTCCACAGCTGTGGTGGTCTTGTAAACGTTTTTTAGAATCTCCTTAACATGATAGGATTTATCCATCATCCAAAGACTTGTTTAGCAAAAGAACTTGGTGGGACCACACTTGCACAGTAGAGGGTCACCATTTAAATCAGAGTCTTAATTAAATATTTGAAATTGTTTTAAGGAACATGATTGCTAGTTTTCCAGAGGGATTTGAAGAACGTGACAAAGGATTTTTATCTTTCTGTGGTAGAAGAATTCTTTGCTGGGAGAAGATTCTGATAGGGCAGCTTCTCTTGCTAGCAAATAGCCCATCTTAATTGACCTGTGCCAGTCACCGAAACCTTTGCTTTATATTGGGGTGTTAGGTCTGCTAATTTCTTCTGAATTCTGCTAATTTTCTGCAGAATTAGTTTTTACAGTAACATTACTACAAGGTAGACAGATGAGAGAGAATTTCCACTGAGATTTGTCGGCAGGTGATTGTATTATTGGCTTGATTTTTTTTCTCTCTGTAGATAAAGTGCTGTTCATGACTACAGCTGTTGATTTGGTGATAACTGAGGTACAAGAACCTGTGCGATTCCTTTTGGAGACCAAAGTCCGAGTTTGCTCACCAAATGAGAGATTGTTCTGGCCCTTCAGCAAACGTAGCTCCACTGAAAACTTCTTCCTAAAACTAAAACAGGTAATGCTGTCTTTTTACCATTACATTTGGGGCTTGGCATAGTTGGGTATAAGCTTAACTGACTGTCACTACCCTATAATTAAATTCTTCTGAGACTTCAGTGGTAGGTTTTAGGGTGCATTACAGGATAAATATAAACATATGGGGACAAGGCCCAGCTCTGAAGCCCTGATGCATGTGTGTGCTCTGTTGAAGCCACTGGAATGAATCGTGTATAAGGCCTGCAGGATCAGGCTGCAGATTGTCACATGTAATTAACTTCTGTACCTTCAAACCTGGTATTTAGGATGTTACAACATTTCCTAGTATACGAGTCCTGCAGTTCTTTTACTTGACATGCCATACGCGTACAAATAGAAAAGGCTACTTTTTGCAAAGATAAACAGAACTTCCAACAGGATTTAAATGCACATGTCCCAGGACAGCGGTTCTCAAACTTTGGGCTCTGGAGCCCTTTACATGCGTAAAACTTTATGCAGAGCCCCAACGGTCCACTGATTGTATGTGTTGTACCCATCGATGTTTCCAGTTTGTCAACCTCGTGGAGCCCCGGGTGCACAGTTTGAGAAACACTGTCCCAGGAAAATTGGACAATTGACCTAGCAAGACTATTTTTGCTGTTATTGTCTAAGAACTGTGGAGGGTCACTGCACTGCTCTCTTTTCTATTGCATCACATGGTTAGAGTAAAGGTTTCAACGAACCAAATACCCCAACTTTTCTTGTTTAAAAATGTAACTGGAAAGCAATGTCAAGAAGGCTAACATCGTAGCTTTTTGACTCCACCTGCTGGACAGAATGGGTACATTGTCTAAGAAATGCACTTGAATAATATCATAACTCATACCAGAAACAGTCAAAGCCTTGAAAATGGAAGGTGAAAGTCACCTGAGAGTTAGTATGTGATGGAGGAAAAAAGCTGTTCCCAAAATTGCTCATGAAATGGTTACCCCGAAACAAAACCACTCTTCAGAAGCAATGGAGGACGCATGAAAACTAACCATCCTGCGGATGAATTCACACAGTCCAATACTATTGAACGGAGTCAAGAAGAGTGAGGGGTGGAACACTCTGATCTCATTGTTCATGAATTATGTGGATTTACCTCTTCAGGAGGTTCAGGAGAAACAGACAACTTTTTCCCTAATGTCCTTTTTTGCACTTGGTTTTTAATTTTTATTATTGTTGTTGTCGTCATCATTATTGTTTTTGTAAAGTAATAGCAAATAATGGCACGGTTTCTGAGAGGCAACAAATGCCAGGTTCGTCAAGGGAGCTTCTTTGTTGCATTCATCTCTTTTACTTAAAGTTAATTCCATGTGTAACCAGTTACCTTGCAGAACAGCGCATTCCAGGAACACACTGGTATGTAGCAATGTCATGGAAACCTTCCTTCAAAATATAGTCTGGGGGAAAATCCCTCCATGTAGGAGATTAGTCTTATCTTCTCCTATTTGGACTGATTTTTTTTGAAGTGGATTATGGAAATGTTGAACAATTAATGCAGTTAGCTATAAATATGTCACAAGTTTTGTAATACAGGCTGTTTTTCTGCCTTGTAATATACGGAAGCTTATCTTACTTAGCTAATTTTGTATCTTTTGTCTTACTAAATGCTGCATGAATTGTGACCTTTTATCTCATTGAACTGTGCCTTGTTTGCCGCCCTTATGGGTTATCCAGCTTCCAGTATTTACTAATGGAGGAGTTAGCACAATTCATAGTTGAAGTGACTGATCGTTTATACCTGATAAGCATGGAAGGGAAACTTGTTTCTACAGAGATGTGATTAGTCTTTAAAAGATACAACTATGTAGAATTAGCTTATCTTAGTTTGCAAATGTTTCTTGTTTGGGAAGTGGTGGAAGCAGAGGGATTTTATTTTCTCAGATAACATTCAGTGACTTAGTGATTTTTAGTCTGGAATAATTCCCATTATTTAAAATTACTAAAATGGTAAAACTGAGCTTTGGAATTTTTTTACAGAGAAATTGTGGGGGAGAGATTATTTCTTTCCATATTTTTGATTTTGAGTGGAAGGTAAAGCTGCTTTAATAGTCTTGAAGTAAGTTAGAATTTTGTGAAGTATTTATATAGAAAGTCTGTGTTAACTTCCCTTTAGCAGAACAGAAGCATTGAAAATTAATGAAGCAAAAACCTTGGATCCCATAAAGTTGGCTACCTGTGTAATCGGGAAGAGTACACGTTTACTTTTGAAGAAGTAAATAGTCAATCAGTGGCCTTGCTGGGACACTAAACAAGAGTGAACCGTTTTATCACTGAGATGCACACTGTGCTCTTAGTCTGGTGAGAAGCGAGCTATAGTTTGAGGGTTTTCTCATTCATCATATTTAAATGGAAAGGTTGTCCAGCAGTCAAGAATTCACTGAACTTCCTCTCATAGAACTGCTTCCCCATAGCATATACTGTTGAAATACATGCTACTCGTGTGTCCAGTCCACTCCCGTGGGAAAAGGTGAGCCTGTTTGAGTCCTGGACCTGAAATATACTCATTTGTCCCAAGGGGTACATTTTACTTGCGGGAGCTATACAATTCTGAGTGATGCATTTTGGATATTGTTTGCTATGCATTCCCATGAAATAGGGGCAGACAGCAAACACCACAAGCATTCACAGCCCTGGAAGCTACCTTGGGGCACTGAAAGGACTGTAATCATAATGCTGCTTCACCATTCCCCCCCTCCCTTCCCCAAGGAGAGGATGTAGAAAGAACCTTGTGAAACACACAGTCCTGTGATAACTCCTAACTCAGAATTGTGCTTTTCTAATCCAGATCAAACAAAAGGACAGGAAGAACAATACAGATACATTATATGAAGTTGTGTGTCTAGAAAGTGAATCTGAAAGGGAGAGAAGAAAAACTACAGCAAGCCCCTCTATTCGACTGCCACAGTCTGGGTCGCAGGGCTCCATGATTCCGTCCCCTCCAGAGGATGATGAAGAGGAAGGTAAGAGTCTAGTCAAGTTTGTTTTACAGACGCTCCCTGAGTTACAAACAAGTTACGGACCAACGCTTGGTCCGTAACTCGAAGTGTTCGTAACTCGGATCCCATAGAGTTCCATGGCGACCGCGCTGTTCGTAAGCGCGGATCGCCATTCGTAACTCGGATCCGCATTTACAACCACTTTGGTCGTAAGTGTGGATGGTCGTAAGTGGAGGCGGTCGTAACTCGGGGAGCGGCAGTATTTGCATACTTTGTAGGAAATGGAAGCTGCCATAGATGACTAGCAAAGCTATTGGGAAGAAATTACCTTTTGAATGGGATCTTGTCTCACACTTGAAAGCTATGAGTGTCTGATAACAAAAAACAGTTCCTTCAGCTGCCACTTCATTTTTCTTGGATGTTTCTGTGAACCAACTAAATGCTGCTTCTTGGTTCATTTGACTCTCCTTGGAGACAGACTGAAGAGTTCAAAACACCCCAGAAAAGTTAAAAACACCTGAAGCAGCACTTGAGATAGTTTGTCCCTCCTGGAACAGATGTAAACGGCTGCAGCAGTGAGGAATGAGGAGTTGGCATTGGTTTGAGGTGTCTACGAGTGGCATGTGTGTAAGCATAGGCTTTTGTAGTGCAAAATGCCACACACCAGGCGCTATTTCACAGTTTTGGTGGTGCTGTTCATTCTGAGGTCTGTGTGTTTTCGACAGGCTCTGTTGCCATTTCATTTTTTGAACAGGCCTGTGAACTGCTGCTGAGTTTCTGTTACTGATAGGAAAGTAATCAGCACGTTTGAATGATATAGCATCACCCACATCAGAGATCTGCTTAGGCTGTTCCAGATTTTTCACACATGAGCCAAGATAACTGAGGCCCATTCCAGAGGAATATATTTTTGTGTAAATAATTTAATGCAACAGCAGTGTCAGACTAGGCGTCTGGCATCAGACAAATACTGAAACGGCAGCAGAGCTTGTATCTACATGACTCATAATGAGGGTTTCACAATGTCCATGACTGAATAGACCAGCTATGAGATTGGTCTTATTATTGTGATCGTGCTTATCTACTTTTTCACTTCAGCAATGGAATGTGCTACAATCTAAAAACTACATAATTCAAGCTTTAGGAGCTATCAGAAAAGTAATAGCATTCAAAGGAAAAGTGCAAAGCAGTTCAGGCTGCCATGAATGCAATGACATTATAATGGCCTCTCGTTATGTTTCATAAAGAAAACAAGATCCCTTAATATATCATTTGAAAGAGTAGGTCTTGAGGATATTAAGTTATCTATCATTGGCAGTATTTCAGTTGTCTGCTTTAGTAGTGCAAAAGGCAGAGCATTTCGCTGATAGCAGTATCATACATTTCTTTCAAGATAACATCTGAAATATGATTGCATTGGTCACATTTAGGTTAATGCCTACTTTGCATTTTGACTTGTTCTGGATTGAATTGTGAGGTGCCTCGTAATGATTCTGTCAGAACTGAGTCTACACCTGCAGTAGTCCTCCGTGTTAAAATTTGACCGGGGGTATCCCAAGAAGTGGTTCAGTTGAGAATTGAATGCTAATCTGGTAGGATAGTGCTCCTCTGTGCTTACATTTTCTCCTCTTTTCTCATTACGTTCATTATAGATAACGATGAGCCTCTCTTGAGTGGTTCTGGGGATGTTTCCAAAGAGTGTGCCGAAAAAATTCTTGAAACATGGGGAGATCTTCTGTCCAAATGGTAAGAGGCAAGAATGTGCGTTCTGAAAATAGTATTTGAGTCTTCTCGGACATGAGAGGTTGCCAGCTAAGTGTGTTCTTTCCTTGCAGAGTGGCCACTGGTTCTGAAAATTAATTGAGAATAGATTAGGGTGGATGAAGTCTTCTGAGAATCCCGGCTTCTGATACGATTCCAGGATTTTTCTGATACCATTTGTACTTCTAATTTTTATATCTGAATGTCTTCAAAGCATTCAGGCAACATGTTAGCTTCTTGGGGTTACTATAGCTGCAGGTGTTTTGGAAACCATAGTACTACTTTGCTCTACATTTGCTAATAAAAAAAAATCTATCAAAAGAAGAATAAAGAAGTTACAGCTTTTCCTTCACTTTGGCTCCCTGAAGATAATTTTCCAACAAAGTTCCCCTCCTTCCAGCTCCAGGAACAATCAGAGTTGAACCATTTACCCTAACTGAATATCTATCCTTAGCCTTTGGGTCTTAAGAATGTGGCCACCTCGTTAAAGGAAGATAAACTCTGGGTCCATCAGGGGATTATGTGAGTTGTTCTGCTTTTCTAGGAGGTGCTGATTTATTTAGCATAGCATTTCGAAGTAGTAGAGATTCTGATACAGCCTCTACTCCCCCTTGCCAGGGCTACAGCTAGTTAGCTCTGCATACTAAGGTGAGCCTCCATCATGGAGGTTACTGCTGGAAGTTATTGCAAAACTCTGCCAACATTGCACAGAGAGATCACACATACTCAGTACCAGATGGAGCATTTTAAGATTTCCCTTGGTCTCCATCTAGTATCGTTTCTCTTCCTGTGCTTCCTAACATCATTGAAAAGCAGAGCAAGAAGCAGCCAGAAAGGTGAGAGCAAATGAAATACTACATCCGAGAAGGAGAAAAACAAAGCTACAGTGCAGTAGAGACGGATTAAATCCAGCATGTAGGTGTTAGGAAAATGTCTAATATAAAGATTCAGAGATTTTCTTAACATTAAACTACTCAGAGGCTAATATAGGGAGTGGTGATCTATTGCACTTCTATATAATTGTTTTCAATTTGATAGGGTTTTTACTTCCAGTTTTTAACACACATACATTATGCTTATTTGATAAGAGTTCTGGACATATGTAACTGTTGCAATAAGATAACAAAAGAGTAGAAAGACTGCATCAGAATTATGTCCTCTCTTCCCCCATCCCCTTAGAAACAGTTTGATCAGATGAGCTCTACAAATCCCCTCTCAGCAAGAATGTTTGTCATATACTTCAGTTCTTCTGTAACTCTTCCAAGGCTGAAAAGTAATTAAGCCACCTGACACTCGCACTGAAAATGTTTTGGCAGCTCTAAGAGGATGGGGAGTTCTTCTGTGCTGATGCTGGCAATAACAACTTTTGGTGTGGGGTTAAAGGGCTTCTTCCCTTTTTAAAACTTACAAATATTGCAGGTCATGATCCTTGAGTTTTTAGCATACTAGAGGATTGAAAATCCTAAAAAGGAGAGTTCAGGTGGTTAGATGATCTCGTATTCAGATTTTTTATAGCAACTAGGGATTTGTTGGTATTCTTTTAACTTCCTTTTTTTACCATGTATGGCTTGTATTTTATTAGAGAAGTCACATGCTCTTCCCATTCCAAAATCCAATAGTTGAGAATATCTGGTACAGGTTGAACCTCAGTAGCCCGGCACCCTTAGGACCTTACTGCTATCGAGCCAGAGAACTTGCTGGACAACAGGAGGTCAATATTGTCTAGCAGCCTCACCAACACTTCCACTGCTGACTGGGCATCTTTGAAGACATTTAGGAGTAAATTAGAGCTAAATAACAGCACAGGAAGCTAAGAGCGAGGACTGGCGGCTGTAAGCAAACTTTATGAGATTGCGGGAAACTCGGCCACACCCATGATCTGTGGACAGGCTAACTAAAATCAGTCTGGACCACAGATGTTGCTGGACCCAAGAGTGCCAGACTAGAAAGGTCTGTTACCAATAAAGCACATAGGTTATATTGTGTGATACTGTTTTATTAAACCTATCTTATTTTATTACCAGAACTAATATATAGAGCAAGGCAGTTCATAGTCTCCTCAGAGAGTTTGTATTTGTTGTAGATGGTCTAACTCCTAACCTTGGTGCTGAGTTTTTATTTATCTACTATATATTTGAGAGTTTGTGTGTCTGTCTGCTTGTTTAAGAACTCCTCCTAAAAGTAAAAACTAGGACCACCAAATTCAGTACACAGCTTTCTCTCTAGCTTAAAGCAAAGTCAGGATTTGGTTGTACCAGGAAAATAAGATTTGCCTGGAATGGGACTGCTTCTCATAAAACTGTATGGAAATGAGACAGAATCACCAGGCAGATGAAAGGGGCTGCCTGGGTGTATGCCCCCTACCTTCTGGGAATGCACCAGCCCCTTACCTTGGGCACCCAATTCGTGCATGAACGTTGCTGGCTGTTCCCCTTCATGCTACATTTAGTAGCATTTATGGAAGTAGATGGGAAAGGTGTACAGTTAATTTTCTTTTTTCATGACTCCTGAATGTTCCCACATTGTTGTTACGTCTCTGATGGCCCAGAGAGCTCCTCCAGCAACACACAGACGGTCATGACGTTTTTTCCAGCGTCTCTCTCATTCCACATTGCATTTGGGTGTTACACATGACCGCTCATATGTTTGTACTTGGCCCATAGTAATGGAGCATAACTTCTCCCTCTTCCCCCAAGGCATCTGAATTTGAGTGTGAGGCCAAAGCCTTTGTCAGCATTGGTGAGAAGTGGTGTTCCTGAAGCACTAAGAGGCGAGGTGTGGCAGCTGCTAGCTGGATGTCATAACAATGACCACCTGGTGGAAAAGTACCGAATTCTCATCACAAAGGTAAAGTGATACGTTTTATTTTGTTAGTGCCCTGTTAGTAGAAAGGCGGATAGTTACAAGAATGCTTAAAGATTACTGAGTGTAACTAAATACAGAATCCCCCCCAAATATCAATATAACACTTACAGTATCAAACAAAACACTTTGGCTACGTCTACACTGGCTTAAAGATTACTGAGTGTAACTAAATACAGAATCCCCCCCCAAATATCAATATAACACTTATAGTATCAAAATAAACACTTTGGCTACATCTACACTGGCACCCTTTTCTGGAAATGCTTAAAACGGAACAGTTTTCCGTTATAAGTATTTCCGGAAAAAGCGCGTCTACATTGGCAGGATGCTTTTCCGGAAAAGCACTTTTTCCGGAAAAGCATCTGTGGCCAACGTAGATGTGCTTTTCCGGAAAAAAGTCCTGATCATCATTTTCGCGATCGGGGCTTTTTTGCAGAAAAGACTACTGTGCTGTCTACACTGGCCCTTTTCCGGAACAGTTTTTCCGGAAAAGGACTTTTGCCCGAACGGGAGCAGCATAGTTTTTCCAGAAAAACACTGACAATTTTACAGTAGATCATCATTGCTTTTCTGGAAAAGCAAGCGGCCAGTGTAGACAGCTGGCAAGTTATTCCGGAAAAGCGGCTGCTTTTCCGGAATAAGTGGCCCAGTGTAGACACTGCCTTATAGTATCTGGAAATTTTTTGTGGCATTACCTTCACTTAGACCATATTTTCCTTTAATATCTCCCCATATATTTTATAGAACTGCAGTCTGTTTTGGTTTGACTCTTCAGAATATTTAGCTATTTGCATTTTATGTCATTTGGTTTACTTGGTTAAATTCTTTGGCTAACTCTGATTTCCCATTGAAAAATTAACTTCTGTTATATTGCCCTGCAGCTAAAATGAGAGTCCAGATCTAAATGTTCAAATTTAACTTAAGTACTGCTATGAAACTAGGTCAGTGTGATCTGATGCTTGCATTGGTCTCTTAACATTTGGTTGTAGGGGGTTTTTAAGTGCATGTTTGGGGGTTTCTTAGCCCAGCTGTTTAATTTTGCACATCTTGGTTCTTAACAACTGTAGAGTATGGAAGTTTCCAATATCAGTGTTGGCATCAATAATAAAGAAAAAGAAAAGCCACTATATGCTCAGAGATCTTGCAACCATGCTTCTCAAAATTCAAACTAGAACCGTTACTCAAGAAGTAAGAATGAAGAACCTTTTCTCCAAAATCAGTGTTCTGAGTTTGCATTTGATCATTACGTGCACAAGCAATTCCATTTTACTGAGTTCATCAAATAATGAGGTACTTAAGGACTGTGGGAGAAATGACTGATAGTGACAGTTCACTTCTCTGAGTGTAAATTCATTGTCTAGAAGATAATTAGCAAAACGAGTCTGAGTCAGCCTTTGGATAGTCCTAGTCTGATTACATAGCACTTGACTCTGATTTGCCAGGAATAATTGCAAATGTTATTCTGAGGGTAGAAAGGGAAACCTGAAATAAGACATGGTGGGAAATAAAGCATTTGATTTTATGGTGCATAACCACACAAGTCAGAAGAAGTCAGCACTATCTGTCAAGCAAAATCTCCTGGGTGCTTCTGCTGTATTGTTTGAACTCCTAGGTGAGCGACTTGCCATGTCCCCATTCCAGTACTTGGGTGCTGTGCCCTGTGTGTAGTATAGTACAGTGTGTGACACACTTCTCCTGTGTGAATACGTACACTACAGTGTTTCATTTCCCTCTTAAATTGGTGACATCCTCCCACTCTTTCACTTCTTGGCGGAACCAGAGGAAATAACCTGGCTATGATGCATCAGAAATTTCCCTGGGATCCGAAGCAGGGTGAGGTTGATTGGTTGAACATTGTGATATAGGGACTGGCCACTTAGAAAATACCACAAAAATAACCCCTTGAAGAAAATTAGCATTGAATGACCCTCTTTGGCATTTGATCTCATAGAGCTGGGTGCCCACCCAAGTCTTGGCTACTGCTGGAGCGAGCTAGCCACACTCAACCAGCCAAATATCCACATGTGGCTAGCAGCTAGCACTTTGGACACCACAGTCTTAGTGTAATTGCCTTAGGCAAATTAAAGTGAAGCCTGCTTTCCTGTATAAAGGCCATATTGCTGGGCTTTGTGACTTAGATGTCAGTTACATCTCGATTTAGTCCTGAGTGGAGTGCAGGATCAGGTCCAGGAAATAACCGTTACAGGACCGCTTGGGAATAGTGACCATAATATATTAACATTCAACATTCCTGTGGTGGGAAGAACACCTCAGCAGTCCAGCACCCTGGCATTTAATTTCAAAAAGGGGAATTACACAAAAATGAGGAGGTTAGTTAAACAGAAATTAAAAGGCACAGTGACTAGAGCCAAATCCCTGAAAGCTGCATGGAAACTTTTTAAAGACACCATAATAGAGGCCCAACTTAAATGTATACCCCAAATTAAAAAACATAGCAAGAGACCTAAAAAAGAGTCACCGTGGCTTAACCACCATGTAAAAGAAGCAGTGAGGGACAAAAAGGTATCTTTTAAGAAGTGGAAGTCCAATCCTAGTGAGATAAATAGAAAGGAACAGAAACACTGTCAAATCAAGTGTAAAAAACATAGCAAGAGACTTAAAAAAGAGTCACCGTGGCTTAACCACCATGTAAAAGAAGCAGTGAGGGACAAAAAGGTATCTTTTAAGAAGTGGAAGTCCAATCCTAGTGAGATAAATAGAAAGGAACATAAACACTGTCAAATCTAGTGTAAAAATGTAATAAGAAAAGCAAAAAAAGATTTTGAGGAACAGCTAGCCAAAAACTCAAAAAGAAATAACAAAATGTTTTTTAAGTACATTAGAAGCAGGAAGCCTGCTAAAAAACCTGTGGGTCCCCTAGATGATCAAGCTATAAAAGGAGCAATCAAGGACGATAAAGCCATTGC